AACCTCATTGGTCACACTCAGCTGCAGGAGAGACTGCATTCTGCATTCTGTGGCTCAGGAAGGTATGTCAGGCCTCCTGCAGAGTTGCAAACCCCCCCCCCCCCACCTAGCTGCAGTCTCAGCACTGTAAGGCCTTGCAAGGGCCCAGATTGCCAAGAGGCTGGGCAGATCTGGGTATTGTGTCTGGCTTGTGCCAGGAACCCTGCCAGTCCTAGGGTTCTGCTGCCTGTGGGGTCTTGGGCAGATATGTATGTGGTAGGCTGTTTGCCTAGGCTGAGCACTGTGGGCAGAAGCCCTTGCTCTATGGCTCTCCCCAGCACACAGAGAGAGAGAGAGAGAGAGAGAGAGAGAGAGAGACAGAGAGAGAGAGACAGAGAGACAGAGAGACAGAGAGACAGAGACAGAGTCAGAGAGACAGAGACAGAGTCAGAGAGACAGAGACAGAGAGAGAGAGAGAGCGCTAGCTATGTGCCCTGGACCTAGCAAGCCAGGATTTCAGTGACCAGTGAGGCTTGTCACAGCCAATATCCATCCTCTTCCTCTTCCAGAACAGCCTGCGTGGAAATCCCCCCCAAGCCAGAGTCTGTCCTCGCAGTGCCCTGACAAGGTGGCCCTAAGTGAGCCATGTGCTGGAAGGCCTGTGGAGGGAGGGGTTCACAGTTTCCAGTGTCCTGCTGTGCAGGCTTCTGCTGGGGCCAGCCAGCCCTTGGCGTTCAGAGCTTCGCCGCCTGCTTGTTTCCTATGGAGGTCTGTGCAGTGTTTGGAAAGCCCACACTCATCATTCCACCCTGGCCTCTCCATCTGCTGCTGCCCCTCCCGCTCCTGAGCCTTTTGCCACTTGTGTAGCTGTCCTTGTCTTTTCTCCTCTCCCAGTGAATGGGGGCTGTTACCATGCGTCAGGCTTCACACTGGGGCACAGTTCTTCTTGGAGCCCCTCTGAGGTAGGTGGGGACCTAAATACCTTTATAACATCACTAGTGTGCTGGGAAACCCAGGAGAGCCAGCACAGTCCATAGTAAGTAGTATCCTATGTGTTAGAGGCCCCCTTGCTGGCAAACCACAACTGGTTCCACCTGTGGCCTACTTTTGTATGAGGCCACAAATCATTCTTAAATGGCCTTTAGAGGACTACCAGAAAGAGAATGTGAAGGACTGGGAAGAGCTGCTGCACAGACATGAGGGCTTCGACTCTGATCGCCAGCACCCGTGTAAAAAGCCAGTTGTGATGGCGCACGCCCACATACACAAAGGAGAGAGAATGCGGGACAGAGCTCTGTCGTGGCCTTCAAACCTGAAGCACTTGTGTAGGAGTAAGCTTGGTGAGACAATGCGTAATGTGTGGAGGTTAGCTCAGCATCTGGAGCTCTGCTGCCAGGTTCTAGAACCCTGGCCTTCTAGAAAGTAAGCATCTATCAAATGTGGCTGCTTCACAGGGCTAGTAGAATTTACATAGATAAAGTATGCAGCACACAGAACCTCCTCAGAGTATCAGGGAAGAGATGGCTGGGCCTTTGCCAGATTTTTCCACCCAGCAGGCATGAAAGTCCTGGCTCTGGGCCTCAGCTCTCTAGCTCTGAGTGTGGCTTCCTCCTAGCAGGTTCCCTTTGGCAGGAGGAGAGGGATATGCCAGCTGCCCATTGGGCTGTGTCCTGTGGCGAGGTCAGCTCTGCCTTCCTCCCACCCCCATCCCTGCTGACGGTCAGCTGTGTACTCACCAGGGCTGGGCACTTGGCCCATGCCAGGAGCCAAACTGAGCCCTAAGGTACCAGGCTCTTCCATCCTCCCTTCAGGAGCCCAGTCACCCTGATGGAAGCTCCAGCTCCTGAGGGGGGAGGAGTTCTCCTCTCTACATGCATTTCCTTGTTTGGCCAGCCAACAGGAAGATAAACCAGGGCTGTCACCCCCCTGACTCCCCCCAACACACAAGGAAGAGGAGCCCTGAGGGTAATCCCCCAGGCCCACCCACCCTCCCTCTCTTGGAATGATGATCTGTAAAACAAACTTCCAGTGGATGATCACATAAAGATTTAAATATTCAAACTATCAGAAAATGAAGAGTATTTTCTGATATGGATAGAGATAGGTGTTCGGTTTTTACAAGTAGCTTCAGAAATTAAGGGTAAAAGACCAGTGAATCTGCTGGGTGTGATGGCACACTCCAGTAATCCTAGTACTTGGGAGGTGGAGATAGGAAGATCTGGAGTTCAAGGTCATCCTTGACTACCTAGTGACTTTGAGACCAGCCAGGGCTACATAAGACTCCATGTCATCGACCCCCCCCTCCCCAGTTACTCACATATAAGAAATCAGTAGAGCCATAAACACATGTCTATCAAAAGATATAAAACCCTCCGGAACTGTTGGCAACCAATGGCTGCTGGGAGGGGGAGAGTCAGTCTCCATTAAAAGCAAGACCCTGGTAGGTTAATCAGACCCTAGCGGGTAGACCCACACTAAAGGGCATTTGGGGGCATAA